TTCTTTTACCAAAGACAATCAAATATAAACCAGAGCACCATTGAAGGCACACTGAAGGTGAAAATGAATTAAGTACAAAGATCCACATTCGCAAGTAGATGTTATCAATGTCTGTCGCTTGTGTCTTGGGCTGAAATGTTGTTTAGGAATAAGAGGGTCGTGTGATTGTCCATGTGCCCTTAAAATCTTTTTCAAAAACACTAAATACAAACCTGTGTATCTGTACTTTTGATTGTGTTAATGTGAAATAAACCTCTTATCTACTTCGACTTTTGGACCTGGCCAGTGGATGGAGGAAGGCGTTCAACTCAAAATGTTCTTGAGCGAAAACTGAGCCCATAATAAATTCTTAACTCAAAAAATGTAAATAGATATTTAAACTTTGGTAACTTCGAGTAAATTAAGTTAATTGAACTAATTCCTTTTCCAGTTAATTGAAGTTAAACTCCATATGCAGTATTTTCTCCAAACTCTATTTAAAATGTGTGAAGCAGAATTTGTCCCTGATAAAGTCCACCTTAAATGGATCTTCTTTATTGGTACAAGTATTAGGTGGAATTACTCATTGGGGTTTCTTAATCTAACAGCAGGATTATTAACGTCACCCTGTAAAAAACAGCTTGATGTAAATAAAAAACATTTATAATTTTTCTTTAGTTGGTAGCCAATTCATTTTCTGTATTTTCTGTAATTGTGGACAAAAAATCAAAATCTTTAACTTTGGGATCACTTTTTAAAATTATTTTCGATGCATATTTGGGTCCTTATGATGATTTAATAAACTGAACAATAAAAACCCCAGAATTGTAAAAGTACTGAGCTATACAGCATTATAAATGTTTAATATAACAGATATAAAGTCAGACTAAAGAAGAATAAGTCAGTGGAACAAAAGTAGAATTTATATCAACTAATCTTTAAATTTATGTTACTTCTTTTTTAATCAATTAAGATGTGCATTGAAAATATTACTTAAGTAAAAGGTGGCAAAAGTCCACACATTATACTTGAGTTGAAGTACTTGTGTAAGTACTAATTAAACTTCTTCACTCAAGTAAAAGTAGAAAAGTACACTGAAATGTACTCAAAGTATAAAAGTAAAAAGTCTTTGAAAGTGAAACAAAAACAAAACAAACAAAAAAAGCTGAGATTTAAAATAATTCAAAGGAAAAGAAGCAAATTCTCATATTTGATAAGCTGGAACTTGTACTGGTATAAACTGTTGGGTGGTTTATTATAAACTCTTCATTTTTATGTGAAATTCTTAATTTGTAATCATTTTTAAGTACTTGAGTAAATGTATGTGCACATTAAAGTACTGACACTCAGAGGCAGTTGTTGGTAATCTAAATTATTTGCCATTTAAATAACATAAAACACTAAACAATATAATATATGATAGAAATGTAATATAATCATATATAATTATTATAGTCGTAGATCTCATAGTTCCCATTTCACATGAACGCAGCACACGTTCAAACTGTGGTGGTTTCTGATTGGACCCCAGACAGGAAGCGAAACTGCAGCTTAAGCTTTCCTATGAACCAACACATTCACGTCAGACTGTTTAATCTGCTAAATTTAGTTGAATTAAAGATTAAAAGTTTGAATGGAAAATAATAAAGTTGTATTAAACACGTTTGTTGTGTTATGTGTCATCGTGCTGAAGGCGGAGCAGCTGTCCGGCGACGGTGGCTGGTGAGTCAATAAACTGACACATTCATCACCACGTTAATTTAAAGTTTAATGTTTGACATTTACATTTTGGGATTTTACCGTGAAATTAATTTTAACACTTGCAAAATGTTGCCTAGTTTAGCCCCGACACCTGCTCATCTGACTGAACTTCACACCAAACTCCATTCAAAATTCTGTCACTTTAACGTCCGCCTTGATATGACACATCACAGAGGTTTGTTAACATCCCATCGAAAAGTTCAAGTCACAGAAGCTAAAAGAGAAAAATAAATGTTAAATGGCTGCTAAAGTGATGTGACAAAAGCTTTTAAAAACTATATAAAACTAAATTGTGTCTAACTTGACTCTAAAACTAAATAGAGTAAAAGTTAAATGAGGTTTTGTATAGAATTCATACCAGTGTTTCCAATGCTTCCATGGAGCTAAATCTCATGCATTTTCCTGCAAGCTCTGTTCTAATCTCCATGTCTGCTTCTTGTTCAGGTCTGATTCAGAGTTCAGACTGGAGGATGAAGGCCCTTGTAACATCGATGTGTGGGACAGCTCTTCGCTCTCACATCAGCAGTTCATTGAAAGGTACAAACACATTAACTATCAATCAATAAATTCACACTGGCAGATACATTTGGGCAGTAAAGTTAAGTGATGATCAATTTTCTGAGTTTATCGGCTCTTCTGAGGTCAAACATACAAACTTTATAACAACCAGTGTTTATTTGGGGTTAAACTGATACATTTCTTTAAAAAGAGGCAGAAAAATGACAGTTGGCGACATTAAAGAACAACTATTTTATTATTTTTAACAGTGTAAAACTCTAATATACACAAATTCACATAGTAAATAAAACACCAACACAACTAATAATGTAACACTAATGAACAGTTACAGTACTGAAAGTAATAAAAACTCCATGAAACATGTTGTAATAGCGTATAAATATTAAGTTAAAAACATCTTATAACAACAAACCTTTAACATTATGATTTCATACTGATCTGTTTTCCTTTTGGCGTCGCAGCATTGAGCTTCTGTAGAAAATAAAACTCTTCAATGGATGAAAATGGATTTGAGGGTTTTATTTTGACCTCAGTATTCCTAAGACTCCAGTTTAATGAGCGTGTTGTTGTGTTTGACCTCCGTCTGTCTCTGTACGCTGACTCACTCCTGCTGCTGTGTTCTCAGATACGCGTACAGCCGACCGGTGATCCTCCGAGGCCTCACTGATAACACGGTACGTCCACTTACTGTTTGTCGACTCGCTGCAAACACTGAAAGTCCTACAGTTGCTTTTTATTTTAAATGTTATAAATATCTGTACGTATAAGAGGAAACTCACAAACACTGATTGATGGTCAGGACGTTATTGATTTAGTGAGTTTTTGTGATATCTGGATGTGACCTTGGGACCCCCACTAGGCAGAGTCATGAGGTATCTCAGTGTTTCTTCCAATTCTGTGAAGAAAACTAAATTCAATTGTTTTTTAAAGATTTCTATTTAAGATAACACAAACTGCTCTTAAAGTACACAGTTAAAACAAAAACAATAGGAGAAAACACTGAATTTGTCAAAAAAAGAGGCATAATAAGAGTCAATAATTGTTAAAAAACATAATACAGACAAAGAATTGTTTGAAAAGTTCCTAAAAATATCAGGAAAACTCATCTCTGATCAATACTCACACACAATATTCATATTATCTCATATTATTAATAATACTGGATCATAATTTCTGATGCTTTAACATGTTAGCTGCACTTTACTGTATCTTTATATACTTTTGACTTCTTACTTTTATAGTTTATAAGCTTATCACGTTTTATTTAATGTAAAATCCATTTAGAACGAACACAGTCTCTAAGTATCAGGACAGGGACTCATGATTTCTGTCATATTTGTATAATAATAATAATAATTTTTATTTTCCTTTTGATAAAACCCTCAAATTAGACGTCATTGTCATCAACGTCATCTGAAGACCCAAAATACACAAACACCAACTGCACTAATCGGTTCAATAACACACTCGGACTGTGAATGTTGTTCTAGAAATTCAGGTCGTTGTGCTCCAAGTGGAGTTTACTAGAAGAATACGGGGACCGGAGAGTGCGGCTCAGTACTGCTAACACTTACTCTTACAGGAAAGGTATGAATGTCTGACTCTCCCTCTGCTGTCTGAGCCTCATTAAACCTGCAGGGACTTTTATTTTGTTATTAATCTTTTACACTTACTGACTGATCGCTTTGTTCCAGTGGATGTCCCCTTTCAGGAGTATGTGGACATTTTACTGAGGCCTCAGTCTGCGGACGCTCTCGGCAGCGGTGAGTCAAACACTTAAGTTAAAGGTTGTATACACACAGTTCACTGCTGCCACTAGAGGTCGCACTAGACAGCAGCTCAGACCAAAACAACAGCTGCATCAACCCACCAGACTCCATTCACAAAACCAGTGATTTTACTGTGCAGATAATCGTAAACACTTATGAAAGTGGACAGAAACAGAATAAAACTAATTAAATCGTCTCTGTTAGTGTTTCCAACATCACCCAACTCTGTTTGGTGGAAATTAAAATCCTAATTCAACCGACGTATGATGATAAAAACAAGCAGTTTCAGTCGAGCAGGACAGGCTATAAGAAACAAACCACAGACGAGGCTGCGATACAACACAGACAGAGGGAAAGAGACACCATGTGACTCTGTGTCTGTATATAGAGAATATAATGTTAGCTGATATATTAATGTTTATATCTCATTTATAACCCTTTTAAAGGTTTTAGAGGGATTTCTTTGCTGTTTGAGGATAGAAGAAGTCTTATAAAGATTGACTTGACTTGAAAAGTTTACAGTTTTCAAATGAAGTTTTGAATGTGAACAACAACTATGAACTATAATTTAAGTCACATAGAGGAAGAAAATACATATAAATACATGTTTAATATTATCTGGGATCATTTAAAGAAAGGTTTGTTTGTCTCAATACTGTCGGACTTCCTGTCTGTGGCTCAATGGTTCCTACTGATGTGGGACTAATGTGTGTTTTTCTCTTCTACAGACACGCTGTATTTCTTCGGAGACAACAACTTCACCGAGTGGCAGAGTTTGTTCGAGCACTACGAGTCTCCGCCGTACGTCCTGCCTCGCACCACCGGAGCGTTCAGCTTCGGGATTGCAGGTCGGTGTTTGTCTACAGCAACGCTAGCGGCTCTAAACACGTTTTCTTAAATCTGAAAACACATTATTTGTAGTCCAGGAAATCTTTTCAGAACTACAGTATTTTATTATAATGCAGTTTGTTACATTTTAGCTTTTATCAACAAAAAATGCTTGAAAACTTCTGCGATTTGCATATTGCACTTTGCCGTATGGCGGTTTTGATAATATTTCGATTAATTGTGCAGCGTAAACGCAAATATTTTTGGTACATGACCAAAGAAAACACAAAAAAAGTGCTGTGGTATTCCCTTTTGCACCAAATGCACCAAAAATAATATTAAAAATAAATGTAGGCATTAATTAAGTAATAAATCATGTCATACATTGATATTTCTGCTTTTAATTTCTATATTTATTTACATTTGTATTAATTCCCATTTTTATTTACTTTTCTTTCCATTTTACTTAATTTATTCTTTATTTTATTCTTTATTATATATTTGCATGTCTTTACCCAAACTTATTTATTTTCAAGGCAAATTCATTTACTTCTTTATTTCTTTTTGATTTTGGCAGTTTCGGTCCTCCATACTTAAATTCATTGAAACTCCCTAATGAATAAAATAAAATCTTCAGCATTAATGCAAATATTTATGAAATTGTTGCTATGTGACCAGATGTGGTGTTTGGTCTGCAGGTCCAGGAACAGGAGTCCCGTTTCACTGGCACGGTCCCGGTTACTCCGAGGTCATATATGGAAGAAAGGTGAGGCAATAAGACGCCACGTTGAATTATTTCCTCCCTGAATCTGTTTGATTCGTTGTCTGATGTGTGAACTCAGATAAATGTCTTGTTAGTTCAGTGAATGATTCTGTATTGATCCCACAGCGCTGGTTCCTCTACCCACCCGACCAGGAGCCTCATTTCCACCCGAACCGGACCACCCTGTCCTGGGTAACAGAGATCTACCCCAACCTGCCCGAGGACGAGGCCCCGCTGGAGTGCACCATCAGACCTGGAGAGGTAAACGACTCTTTAACCCATATTTATTATTAATTATTGATTATATGAGCCTGTGAAATTCATTTTTCTTCTAACTAATCATTTTAGTGAATTTATATGGAGGACCTACACTGCCGAAGTCAAAATTAAATGGATGACTCAATAAATAAATGCCATTAAATGCACCAAAATAATATTTAATAAATAACTGTTAATTAATTCATCAAATATTTGTGTTTTTATTAGCTTCTGTATTTATTTACTTTACCTTTATTAATGGGTGAGAGGACCTATTGAGGCATTTCCTACATTTAATACATTTCATCATATTAATAAATTGGAAATATAAATCAATAAATATACCATTAAAATAAATTCAAAGAAATTAATAATTAAATGGAAAATTTAGGTAGATAAATACAGAACTATTTTTGGTGCATTTAAAGGCATATTTTATTTTGTTTTGATTTTGACAGTTTCAGTCCTCTATACAAAATCACCACAATTAATGAACACTCATAAATTAATCGCTGAGATGACCTATGATGCATTTCATCCATTTATCTTTGGTTTCATCATATAAATAAATTGGAAATTAAGAATATTTCAACCAAAAACAAATGAAATAGAAACATTTTCAGTATTATTTGGTGTAAATGTTTCTCCAACACTGATTTTTATTTTGTTTTGTTTGTTTTTTATTGGAAGAAACTTAATAATGGTAATATAAATGGTAATTATAATAAAAAATGGTGACACTAAAACAACAATCTGAATTTGAATAATTAATTTAAATATAATTTTTTCCTCTCACAGCAGTAACATCACTGTTTGAGCTGAAGCATCAATATAAACTACTTTCACAGATGTATTTATATTTTATCTGACAGTCTTGGTGTTTTCTCCGCCAGGTTCTGTATTTCCCCGACCGCTGGTGGCACGCCACTCTCAACCTGGACACCAGCGTCTTCATCTCCACCTTCCTCGGCTGAGCTTCTTCTTCAGCTCTGCAGTATTTCCTGTGTTTGATGTTTCAGAGCGATAAACTGTCGATTGTTGGGATCATATTTCAGTCTAAAGCAGAGGCGGATCTAAAGATTTTAAAAATACCATGTTCAAAAATGGAAATTAACTCATATAATTTACTGATGTTATGGACAGATTTTAGACTAAAACAAGATGTATTTCACCTTTATAGATTTCTATTCGAAGCTTCACTAATGTGCCACAATAATCAAGTTAAAATATCTTTTCCAAGCAAATATTGATTTATGTGATTGATTGTGGATGTGAATATTTCTCTAGATCCGCCTCCCCATTTACTTTGCAGGTGAATCTTTTCAACAAAGATTATATTTAATGACCAAAGGAGCTAAAAGTGACAACGTAATGTGTTTTCTGTCCCTTCTATGTCGGGATCAATATGTGTGAGAGTTAAAGATCTGTGTCATCGTATTATTTTTATCAGCCAGTTGAACTTGAAGCAATAAAGCACAAAAACATCTGTTCCAGTCACTGTTGTTGTTTCAGGAATAAAGATGATTATTAAAATATTTTTGTTTGTGCTTGTTTACAAAAAAAACTCATTAGCTAGCGTTTTGTTACCATTAGCTAACTTCTTCTTCACAGTGTGGTTGTATTTTATTATGTAACGTTATAATAGAACAATAAGAATATAATAATAAACATTAATTAAACAATTAATAGAGTAATGTAGATCTGATCTGAGGGTCCCTAATAGACGCAGACGTCTCTTTTAAAAGCCTGCTGTGG